AGAGGGGGTGCAGAGAACACGGTCATTGCGAACAAGGGTAGGGTTCGCTTGCTTGTTGGACCATGTGTAGCGCCTGCCATGCATGTAGATATCATAGAGCCCATGGTCGGAGATGAAACGGCGAAACCGGTTCATCGTTCTGCGGGAGACACGATCATTGTTCTTATCATCCAGCGAGGTGATCATATTAAAATCGCGGCCAATGATCCAGGGCCCGGAGATGCTAGAGCGAAGGTCATGGAGCTCAGAGAGGAAGGCCAGTTTCGCGTCATCTCCCTGGGGACCGTAAACGCCAGTGACCCACCAGTGCTGCCCGCCCGAGGGCGAAGAAGCCACCGCAGACACATGGTGGTCGCCAATCATGGGGTTGGAGAGAGAAATATGGCAACTTTGCCAGGCAAGAATTATTCCGCCCCGGGTAGCAATCGCCGGGAGGAAGAAGAAGCCATCAAAGGAGCCTCCAAGGGTCTCGAGGATGAGAATCGGCGAAACCATCAAGAGCTTGGTCTCTTGTAGGCACACGATGGAAGGGGACGCGGAGGAGATCACAGTGCGAACCGCAGAACGTTTGGCCCGACTATTGAGTCCGCGGACGTTCCAAAACATGATCTTGAGGTTTACATCCATAGAAACAACATTGTTACACGGGAGTCCGGACAGGAGAGCACAATCATGTCGAGAGTTGGCACGACTGGTTGGGGGGAGCCAATCCATCAATGACGGCCTGAGGTAGTCGCCATCCATAGAAGTCGGCAAAGGCGCAGACCACCTCGGTCGCGAGAGGGCGCTCGAAGAGTTTGTAGTAGCGATCCAAGATGGCATCTGAGACTGGCTCGTCGTCCTTCATAAGACCTAAGCGAAGGAGCAAGACACGCTTAGCCTTAGTTTCCGAGTCAAGGCCACGATCGGACTTCGCGATCCGTATGCTTCGGCGCGGGGTGAAGTTGGGAGGCACCGCGCATTGTCCTCGTCGTGAAGGGGTGGGCAGAACGGGCTGCACCGCCGAGCTGATCGAGTCCAGGAAGCCAGGCAGAGGGGCGACGTGGCCATCCGCACGTTGCATGGCAGTGCATGGGAAGGGGGGATGTGGCCTATCCTGAGCCACAGCCGCGAGCGGATCAGCATGCATGGGCGCAGGATCCGCCACAAGCCGACAAGGAGTGTCTGCTAAAGTGGCCTGGGGATCCGTAGCAGGGGTGACAGGGAGGGGATCTTCCTCGCGGACCGTGCGGGGAGGGGACGAGGCCCCAGGCGAGCACGGGGCGGGCCCAGGGACAGGGTCAATAGGGCGGTTCGACGCAGGGGTTGGGGGGGATCACATCCACCACCAGAGGTGAGGCAGGTGGGGTCGCCTCGGGATCCTCGGGAGGCGCATCAGACAACCGGGCCAGATTGGCCGTTGCAGCAGCCTGGGAAGGTTCCGGAGACACGGGGATTTCGCATGTCGCATGCGGGATTGGGGGAACGCGTGGCGGGGACGCAGGGCGCGTGGCCAGCTCCAAAATTTAAACGGGCGGCAAGGAAGAAGGCCCACGTTCGGTCGTTGCTTGGTCAAAAGGCGCCGCGGGCCACGTCAGGCGGAGGGCAGGCGGGACCCGCGGGGCAGGCGGTGAGGCGTCAGGGTGCGGGCCCAGCATGCCCTGCCAACCCCGAAAGGGAAGCGCGCGGTGGCGGGAGCCAACGCCGCCACCGGAGCCGGAGCGCCGTCGACGTCGGGGAGCAACATCGCCAGTGCGCCGGGAGGGATGCTCATGACGACGCGGCCACGGGCCAGGGACCGGAGGGGAGTCGCGGTCGGGGTTATCACCTCCGTCAGGATCCAAACGCGGCAACGTCGGGGAGGGAAAGCGGTAATCTTCCGTCTCCTCAACGTGGATGGAGACAGGGTAGCGGATGAGCGGCCTGCCGAAGCGAGAGACACGGTCAGGATCGGCACGGTGGTCTACACCATCGCGCGCCGGCAAGAGCAGCTCGGAAGAGCGCGGGATGCAATCCGGGTTGGCCGTCCAGGCGAACAGGTGAAACACCGAAAGATCACGGCCTGAGCTCGTCTCTGGAGCCAGATCCTCGATGAGACAGAAGGGAGTGAGCAGAAATTCGGCGGAGGAGCGTGACCAGGCATGATCCGGAATGCCGCGGATCGAAATGCGCACGCGGAAGCGCGCGGTCACCGGCTCACCGCCCGTCAGGTGGCACCATGGGCTGAAAAGGAGACGGAAACCCGGGGTGCGGAGGCTGCCGGCCGCGGCCCGGGCGCGGTCATCTCTGGAACGAAACCGGATGAGAAAGTCACCGGGGAAGTGGGGGTGGACAGAGAAGTCACCACGTCGAAAACCAAAGGACGCGCAGAGGGCCGCCGTGACCTCGTCGACGGAGACGCCGCTGCGGTTGCCCGCAACAGTGGCCACAAGGGCGGACTGCAGAGCGAGCTCAGCCTCATCCATCTCTACGCTCCAGGGGAGGTAGCACACCGCGGACGCCGGGCGCAGAGAGGGGTGGCCGGACATGGGGGATGCCGAACGTGACGCCGGGAGCGGCGCCGAGGGCAAAGAGGGAACACACGCCGAGGGGGTGGGGGACAGGGCAGCACCGGCCGCGGAGGGGGGAGGGGAGCTGCCTGCTGAGGCCGCGGGGGTGGGCGAAGCAGAGCGGGCGACGAGATGCGCGGGGGCGTTCGGCCCGACGACGCTCGCCGCCGACGACCCAGGGGAGCAGGGGCGATGGCGCTTGGGCGGCGGGGAGCCAGACAGCGGAGGAGAGCGAGGAGCAATGCAAAGGCGAGCGATGTGGCCGTAGTGACGACAGCGACGGCAACGAACATCCCGGCGGCACTCAGACCGCAGATGGTCCGGGCTGGGGCTGAGGCATCTCGGGCACTCCGGAGCACGCGGAGAACGCGGAGAGGCCGGGGCCCTGCGCGGGTGAGCGCGGGCACGCCGCGGCGGTCGCGGGCGGGGACGACGGTCCCGGCCACGCACCATCATCCAGCCGGCATCCCCTCCCCCGGCCTCCTCGCCGGCCTCAGTGTGCGGGACCATAGGCTCGTCCACCGGAGAAACGCGGTGGATCTCGGAGCGGGGCCAGGCACGGGCGGCGGGAGGGGAGGGCGGCGAAGGGGGGGCCAGCATCCGGGCGTAGGAGGCAGGGGGAGGGGATGCCGGGGATCCGGCTGGGCTGGAATCACGCCAGCGCAGGGCACGGGGACGCCCAGATCCGCCAGGGGGGGTGGCCATGAGAGGCAGGGGAGGGGCTAACGGACCAGAGGGGTGGGCGCCGGGGCCGGGATGGCCGCCGGCGAGGAGGGGCTGTGGACGCCGGGGCCGGAGTGGCCGCCGGCGGGCTCGAGCGTGCTGGGAGCGGTGCGGCTAGAGCGTGGGAGCGTGGGAGCGTCGAGAGTCCTCGTTTTCAATTTCGCTGATGCTCAAACTGTTTGTGTTTTTTGTTTCTATTTATGGTAGCCTTATTTTTTTTTGACAGTTAATATTTTTTTATCCTGTAGAATTGGATGACCATTCTTGGCCTTCCACCAAAAAAGGCTTCTGCAAATGATCAAGTCCCACCAAATGAGCAACAACAGACACAACACAAAACAAGTGAGGATACCAAAAAACTTGCGGCAAATGCTCTTGCAGCTGTTAGAGATGCCGCCACTGCTGCATCTGGAAGAGGGAAAGTGGAGGTAAAGCCGCACTGTCAGCATCACACAGATATTTTATTATCATTAAGTTCAAGTGAATCTTCCATCTAAAAAATTGTGCCGGCACATGTAACTGCTGTTGCGTTTTTACATTGTTACTTGCTGCTCCGTGTTCATTCTTGTAGAGTAGCTTAAGTTCAACTGGCAAAAAATTGGAACGGCCCAATAATTGTGGATTCAGATGACAAACTTGTGACACTTTGTATGATTTGTGCATCTGATTCCACATGATGTTGCTAATATTCTAGTTTTGTATGACCCAACAGATAACCGAGGTAAGGGACTTTGCTGGCAAGGATATTGAGATCAAGAAACTTGTAGATGCGGATTCAAAGGAAGCGGTTGAGAAGGCCAGTGCAGCGGGTGCCTCGCCGTCCGCTGTGGACAACATCCTGGAGCAGATAAGGAAGAAGCAGAAGCTGAGCGTCCTGGACAAGACGAAGAAAGACTGGGGAGAGTACAAGGCAGAGAAGGGCGTGGAGGAGGAGCTGGGGGCGTACAAGAAGAGCTCGAACCAGTACCTTGATAGGCAGTCCTTCTTGAAGAGAGCCGATTACAGGGAGTACGAGCTCGAGCGAGACGCGCGGTTGTCGTTGATGGCGAAGCGGAAGAGCGAGAGTATGCAGGACGATGATGTCTAGGCTTTGATGAAAATTGCGACCATGTTGGCTGCACTTTGCCTTTTGTTGGACTCGGTGGAGATTCTTTTGAGGTAATGGTAAAGACGTTATTTCATCGTTGCCTTGTCCTCTTATTATACAATCAGCTGGTCAATGTGAAATCTTTAAGAAATTTGATACACTGCGATTCCTTTTTCTGCGTGAAGGCTTCAAATCAAAGTGAAAAGACTGCAAGTATATATTCCTCCTTCCGTCCCAAAATAAATGTCTCAACTTTGTACTAACTTTACTTATTTTGGGACTGAGGGGGTACAACACCACCAGGGAAGGAAAAAGATCATTCAAGTCTCTTGGGCTGCAATGACATGATTTAAATTATTTTCCTTGAACAAAAGAGTAGAAGCTCGTATATTTGGGTTTAGAGATTGTACTTCAAGTCTCTTGGGCTGCAATGACTGGATTTAATCTTGGTCCTTTTCCTTTACCAAAAGCGTATAAAATAAAAGTACAATTGGGTTCGGTTACGGATACGAAAATACAGAGATATAATTGGTTTACATATACCCTCGTGAATCGGATCAATAGAACCATAAACACCGGATCTTCTCTACTTATATCGATCAGCGCACGCAAGACCCAGGGCCAAGACCACGAGCGTGGAGGCATCCATCTCAAGCTGAGCGATGGACGCGCCCCTGCCTCCGCCCGCTTACGCCGACGGCGAGCAGACGGACTTCGTCCTCATCGAGAAATTCGGCTACGTCGCCGACCGCGAAGACGCCACCACCGCCACCTGCCTCCTGCAGGGTCCCGACCTCAAGGGCAGCATCAAGGTCACATTCTGCGCCGCCTGCCCGCCGCGCGTCTCCTACTTCTGCGTCCACGCCACCGAGTACGACCGCGCCGACTTGGACCTCGGCCCGGCCATCCTCGCCACGGAGGGCCCTCTCGTCCTCCTCAGCGCCATGCTGCCCAGTCCATCCGACATGTTCCATCCCGTGACGAAACAGTATTTCGTCTACCACGCCGGCACCGACGACACCGACGGGGAGGGGAAGAAGGCGAGCCGCCCGTCACTCAAGCACCTCCCTAACCCTGGCCGCTACCACGAATTCGAGGAAGCCTCGGCTACCCTCTTGCGGACCTGCAGCAAGCATCATAGCTCCAGCGGCTCCACCCTGCACCCCCATGGAGCCAACCAGAACGACCACGACTGCGAGGCATGCGAGTTCGTTATCGTCGCAAAGCGTTCTGCGCGCGTGAGAAGGACACAGCACGAGCTCTGCCTGTACCACTCGGAGAAGCAGGCCTGGAGCATCAAGACAGCCAAAGTATCGGGGGATGCTCCGTACAATCACCACTGGACGGACAAAGCAATTGCCATTGGAGGGGATGACGGCGTGGTGGCATGGGTCAATCTTGGCCGGGACATTCTCTTCTGCGACGTGCTCGCCGAGACCCCCACACTCTGCCCCGTCGAGCTGCCGCCGCTGATCCCGGCAAGCAAGGGAGTTGGGACCGGTGACCCAAGATGCAGCCGGGACGTCACCATTGCCGATGGTTTCATCCGCTACACCCAGCTGCAGATCCGGATCGTTCCGGGCTCGTTCATGGACGATGGAGCCGTCACATTCGATGGCTGGAAAGCTGCCAAATGCAGCATGGCGATCGACGCCCGCTCGTTGCCTTTGGCCGAGGCGTCTTGGCAGCAGCACACGGGCCTCCTCGAGCTCGATTCCTCGCAGATTTCCATGTTGCTGCCGAGTCTTGTGGTCGATGAGGGTAGCACCATAGCGTTCGAGAGACTGCACGTTGGCCTGCCCACCCTGAGCCTGCTAGATGACGACATTGTTTATTTCCTCGCCAAGATCGACTACCGGGACGTGGAACACACAGCATATGTGCTTGCTCTTGACTTGAGAAACAAGACGATGAAGAGCGTTGCTGAGTTTGGAGCCAAAAACACAATTGGTTTGGGCCAGGCGTTTATTGCAAGTACCATCTCCAAATATATCTCAAAGTTGCTCCAGGGTAATTGATTATGCTTTGCTGCCGCCAATATTATTACTTTCAAGCATCCTTTTACTCGGTATATTATTTGCCATGGATATCTGAAACATTCGGATTGCCATGCTTGCTAACTAAACTTGCCACCTCGTGTCAACTAACGTTTGGGTTGCCATACTTAAAATCCTAATGTTTAGGATATATCATTTCCGAATTGATTATGCATATGCTTTGCTGCTGCCACTATTACTTTCAAAGATCCTTTTACTGGGTATATTTGCCATGGGCATCAGAAACGTTCTGATGCTATTTTTCTTTGGGACGATATCCAAATTTACCAGATCAATGCATATCCATTGGGGGCATCGTAGTATAGGGATGAGGGTGAACTATGTAAATTGAACCAAAATAAGTTATGCTAGGTGAGGATACCAGTCATCTCAAATGGTGTTGGTTGATACTACTCATGACCCCGATACTTCACACAGCTTATTGTGGAAGTCCCTGGTGAGGTCATAAATGAATTAGTATGTATATACATGTATGGCTATACGTACTACCGAATACTTAATACCTATTTATTAATAATTAATAATAATGTAGGACAGTATGTTTCTTTGATTTTTTCGTCCATCATGATAATTGCTAATGAAGTTAAAGGAAATTACCCACTATTGCCACCTGAAAGATATACTACCTCCGTCTAAGTATATCAGCCCTCGTTGTATTTTTGGTCAAAGTTTGACCACATAGTTGACTAGAAAAATTATATTGTTGGATTCGTATTTGAATGTTTTTCTAACGATATTATTTTTGCTACGCACAATATATATTTATTAGTTAAAATCATGGCCAAAATATGACCCAAAATACGAGGGGGGCTAGTAAACCAGGGCAGAGGTAGTAAAGGGTAGGATAATTTTTGTTCCGCACCCGCGTCCATTACTAAGGATATGGTATGCACTTGGACGAATCCGCCGGATATGGTATCGATAATATCCGGAGGATGAGGACTATCCGGTATTTTTGCTATCCGAGGTTATCAAATAGAATTCTCCTATAAATTTAGCCCAAATCGACAAGCTCAAATATCAACCCCACTAATTAGAATCATCACATATATTGTGGCCATATTTGTGTGAGTTATGCCTTTGAATGCTTGGTCACTCTATGTGTTATGTGGATGTGTTTGGATAAAAATTTGTATTTATATTGTTTGCATGGTATAAATAAAATCATGTCTCATTGCATGTATGACTCGATATTTTTGGTCTGTTTCCTGTCCGAGTCCACTACGTTTCCACTCCGGATCCATAGTCCGATAAAATTCGCATCTGAACCTGCAACCGGTCATCATCCGTTCACCTCTGAGTCTGACAAAAAATATGATAAAGAATATGGGAACACATTAACTAATCTGATCCGATCAGTTTACATCCGTAATAAGTAACAATGTATCGTGTAATATAACGTTCGTTTCATTGGGATTTTTTCTTGAGCGAACAGACTCAGTTTCATACGCCTCGCTCAAGATCGCTCCAGTTGTCCTCGACATGCGCCTGGGCCTCAACTTTCATTGGGATTTTTTCTTGAGCGAACAGACTTAGTTTCATACGCCTCGCCCAAGATCGCTCCATTGGGCCTCGGCACGCGTCTGGGCCTCAGCCCACACGCTGGTAGCCGGCCTAGACAGTCCTTGCAGGAAGAGGCAAAAAGTAGGCGCTCACATGGGGGATCAAACTTCTGACCTGTGGTGTAGTCGCAGTAAAGAATTAAAATTAGGACACCGATATTTCCCGAACGTTCCATCTGGGGACTTCCCAGACCGAACGAACAGTTTGGTACGAGGGTTCCCCCCTCACGAATGCTTTCCTTCGGGAGGAGAGGATCGAAATCACGAACACCCTCCCTGGCCCCTACAAGGCCTTTCCTTTCTAATGTAAAACAAAAAGAAAAAAAAATCCCAATAGCAAAACAAAAGAAGAAGCCCACATATTTTTCTCTTTCTCTGACAAATAAAAAGACTAGTTTTTGATGTACTACGAAAAAATGTCATCAAATTTAGAAGCAGAAAAATACCAGCGAAAATTCCAAAAAATGCCATTCGAGTTTGACCAAACTGTTTTATGATTTGCCATGATATAATTTTACAAACGGGAAGGTTTACAACATATTTTGATACCTAAGAAAAAGCACGGCAAAGCTGCCATGACAAAAAAAATCAAAAATACCATGGCAAAAAGTAATTCCCGTGATGCATACAATAATAGTCGCCATGGCCCCGTACCACTAGATTACACAAAAAGTTAAACAAAAATTTTGCCATGTGAATATCAGTATTTACTATGGTGGAAATAGTGTACATTTTACCATGGCAAAATTAAAGTAAATTTTGCCATGAGAATAAATTAAAAATTGCCATGGCTACACGAGTTAGAATACCATGCTACATAGTATAATTTTTAATTTTCCATGCTCCGGAAATGTAAATTTGCCATCTTATTTGAATTAAGATTGCCATGGCAAAAAAATGTAAAATTTCCATGGCAATAAAAAGTAAAATTGCCATGGCAATAAAGTAAAAATATTTGCCATGACGATTTATGTAAATTTGGCGTGCCAAAAATAAAGTAAAATTTTGCATGGCAATAAAAGTAAAAAAATTCCATGGCGAAAGTAAATTTGCCATGTCAATTAAGGTAAATTTGACATGGCAAAAAAAAGTAAAAATTGCCATGGCGATTTAGGTAACATTGCCATGTCAATTAAAGTAAATTTGCTATGGCAAAAAATAAAAATAAAAATTGCCATGGAAAAAATAAAAGTTAATTTGATTGCCATGATATTTTATTATAAACACGAAGACACAAAAAATGTGGATTAAAAAATTGGCATGGGAAATAAAAAGTAAAATTTCCCATGGATGTAATAAGTTAATTTGCCATGGCAAGAAAAAAAGGAAAAGTTGCCACGAGAAAAAGTAAAAGTAAAAAAGTTGTCGTGTATGTAAAAAAAGGAAAAATGCCATGTATGTAAAGGTAAAAGAATTTGCCATGGCAAAAACAAGGTAAAGTTGCCATGGTTGTAAAGTAAAATTTGCCATGGCTATAAAACTAAAATTGCTAGGGCTATAAATTAAAAATTGCCATTGTTATAAACCTAAACTTGCCATGTTGAAAAAAGAAATAATTCTGCCATGCCTTTGTTACAAAAATTTGACATGGTCCATGCACTGAAAATTCCATGATGCATAAAATAAATTTGCCATGGACAATTGTAAAAATTCGACATGAAACATTTTTGTCTTGGCAAATTGCTTTTTATTTACCATATTAATTTACCAAGAATATCAGTTTGCACATGGCAAAAACTAGGAGAGAAAATGTTCCTTTAACAATTGTGGACTATAAAGGGTTTTGCTCCCTAGAAAGAAAATGTAGATGGTACATGGCAATTGTAGTTACGTTTTGAAAGTGGACATGTCCAAAAGTTGCCATGGGTAATGAAACTAACTTGCAGAAAATGTGTCATCAAACCAAAAATGCCATGTGTTATTAGAAGTAAACATGTTTTTTTCACTACGTTTTCCATGAGCCCATAGACCAAAGAATTAAGAAATTATCAAAAAAGAAACTTTTGCCATGGGACAAAAACATAGCTACAAACCAGAGAACACAAAACATAAAAAGGTCAAGGCAAAACACACACACACACACACACACAGCTATGCCAAAACGCATCACGGCAAAATCGTGTATATTAAAACATATCATGATGCAAAAGACACTACTTGTCGTTATGTTGAAAAACACATCATGAGGACACACTAGTTTGTTTAGAGTTGCCATCAAAGTTGGATAAAAAAAGGTTCCGGTTTGTAATAAAAGTTTCCATGAGTGTACTATAACAAATGTCACCCCCAAGACAAATATGTGATGACCATGAGACCAAGTTTCAATTTGTAAGAAATTGCCAGGATTTCAATTTGACGATTCCCACCCGAATACTAAAAATGATGTTGCCATGCTACATGGCAAAATGGCCATGATGAAGATCTGTTTTCGCTTCAAAATTACCATGGACCTAAAAAAAACATTTCAACAGATTTCATGTCCCGTGACAACATACATGCACTAAGTACTAAATGTTCATGGCAATCCCACTACCAAAATTTCCATGGCTGCAACAAAATGATGTTGCCGTGCTACATGGCAAAATGGCCATGATATACATCAATATTCGCCTCAAAATTGACATGGACCTAAAATATACAAAACAATTCAACAAATACCATGTGCTGTGACAGCCTACATGCACTAGCCACTAAAATGTTCATGGTAAGTCCACAACAAAAGTTGCCATGGCTGCAAAAACACACACATTATCCACTGCAATTTCATGGCAAAAACCACTACACAAATTACCATGGCTGCAAAAATGCACAGCCCACTGCAATTTTAGCCAAAACGAAGACCGTTATGGGAGAGGAATCGAGCAGAAAAATCTCACCAATGTCTATGACAACGTATAGTTGATCGACCGGCGCGTGATACGGAGCTGGATCCCTGCGAGGTACAGGGAGAAGAAGCAGAGCGCTCATCGATGAAGGGAGCGCGCTGTTGATGTGGGGCTCTGGTCCGTTGCTCCTGTCGGCGAAATGGGCGCTTGTGTGTGGGGTGGAGCCAGAGAGCTCTGATAACCCACAAGTATAGGGGATCGCAACAGTTTTCGAGGGTAGAGTATTCAACCCAAATTTATAAATTCGGCACAAGGGAAGCCAAAGAATATTTGTAAGTACTAGCAGTTGAGTTGTCAATTCAAACACACCTGGATATTAAATATCTGCAGCAAAGTGATCAGTAGCACAGTAATATGATAGTTTTGATAGTAGTGGTAACAATAGCAGTGGTAAGGGTAACAACAGTAACAGTTTTGTAGCAGTTGTAATAGTAGCAATAGCAATAGTAACTTAGCAAGAGCAATATGTGAAAAACTCATAGGCATTGGATCGGTGCATTTGTTGGATGATATT